TTTATAGCCTGCCTTAATCCTCCTTCTGAGCTGCAAAACACAACTGCTTTGGATATGCTGATGCACATCAAATATAGGAGAACCCAGGATGCAGAAGATAGACCTCAGCTTTTTAAAAGATAGGGGGAAATAGCCCTTTACCCAGCAAAGCTCACGGGTGTTAATAAAACAAACTTCACACTACTGATTGCTGTATATTACCATCAAAGTAGCCAAGCAATGAAAAGAAACATCCAAGCCTCTGGCACACAGGAACCTTCCAGTATATCACCCACTCATTACCTTGCTCCTTGATCTGTGACAGATGAAAATTTAGGACTGTCTCTCCTAAATTGTCTCTCCCCCTGTATACCCATCTAGGCCTGAGACTGTCATCTGTGCCTTGGTTCAGCTTACTTGCAGTGCCACAGGCTGTACAGTATCACTAAAAATAAACCAGAGCAAGTGCCTCATTCATCCACTCTCCTCTTGGTGCACTCTCAGTGCAGCTGTCAATGGCTGGAAAGCATATCTGGAAATCTGCACAACAGTGAGGTTTGTGATTACAGAAATGATGACTCTGCATAGCAATAAATGCCACCCACAGCTTTTCTGGGAAAATTCAGACTCCTTGCTCTCTTTGGTGTGTGTGTTCACTTCAAACTTGAAATGATCTTGCATTGACATGGAAACATACTGGGATGACAAAAATGCTCTCTGAGCCTGGGAGGCACTGAATTTGCCCAAGAAAGACTGTGTCCCTTCAAGGTCTCCTAGGATTAAATCCAACACCTTTCCTTCCACCGTTGCTTCAGAAACAGGTCTGGTGGTTTGAAGGCTCAACTTCAGGTCATACATCTTTGTCATTGTGCCATTAACTAAACCAGAAATATCTGTCATTAACAATAAAATAGTGATTTATCTGCTTGCAGTGAAACTTTATGCTTTGACAAGTCAAGTCATCAATGGGGAGATGCAGTTCTACGCCAGGGCCAAGCACTTCTACCGGGATGTGCCAGCCACAGAAGAGGGAATGATGGGAGACTACATCGAGCTCTCCAACACAGACGTTGAATCCTCCAGGGAATTTCTCAGGAAGTTTGTTGGGGTGAGTCATCTAATCTCATCTTCTGCAAGAAGGAGTGGTGATGTGTCAAAATGACATGCACAGTGCCCAGTCACATCTGTTTTAAATGGCTCCAAATATGCATTTTGCCTGTTCTTACATCATTGTTTACCTGTTTCACATCCTTTTGTCTAAAGCTGCAGTGAGGATTGTGCAAGGAGTTCTTAGAGGTGTGTTTGAATGGAGGATTAATTCTCAGTGCAGGACTGGGACCTTTCATGGTAAAACCCTTGCTGGCTTCAGTGGCAGATTTGTCTGTGCAAATTCCTGCAGTCCATTTGGGAAAGTAGCTGAGACTAAATGCCAAGTTTCTGGTTCGACTATTTGTAGATATTTCTGAGAATGCTGCAACAAAACCCAGCCCTTCCCTCCCCATTTGAAATATACAGAATAGGCTACACATTAGCAAAATATTTTTTCTTGAACATTCCAGTGTCACTGAGGACCATTTCAGGCAGTTTACTAAAGGTCTGTAAACATCTTCAAAGGTCTGCTTTGACCTGAGTTGCAGAGAGATGCCAAGTGGGATTTTAAGACCAGTATCACTTTGATCCTTAGGTTTCTAAAAATCTTGTTCGTTCCTAAACGTGTGTTTGGTAATCTGAAATTCTTTAGAAGTGTGGCCCGATGGTTTCCTAACTGCCCTTCCGTCTTCACGGGGGAAGAGCCCACTAAATTAGCTCAGCAACAGTATTAGATGCTACAAAATCCACAAAACTACAGGAAAGCAAATTTCTTAAGTCCTCCTGCTGACTAAATGACTAGTTCTATATAATGCTACCATAGACCTTTAATTTTCTGCTCCACTGTACAAATTTGGGATAGCCAGATGACCTTTTTTTAGCCTTAATGATCCACTGGGGGAAAAAACGTTCAATAGGTTAATTAGATGTTGTGTATGGGAAAAAAAAAGGATACAGGTGAAATGGATTGGGATGGAAAATGAGTGTGGTTTAACATGAGATAGAAATCCTGCATAGCAGTGAAGGGCAAGTGATGGCAAAGTTTGCTGTACCTGATAGAGGGAGGCTTTTGGGGCCATGAGCCAGTAGTGCACAAGTGAGCAGCTACGTTTTTTTTATGTTAACAGTCATTTGTGTTAATGCCAATGCAAAAAAAGGCTTTTCAGAGCCTCAGTGCATCATCACGCTTTCTACACACACGAAATAAGATAGAAAGGAGGTTCAGTGAGGAGCTGAACGTGATGGTGACATTTCTGAATGACATTTCTGAAAATGGCATTGGCAGAAAAAACGAAATGCAGTCGAGGCACGTTCTTTAAGTTTTATAGAAGACTTGTTTTAAGGACCTTTGTGGAATTCAAGTGGTGCATAACTGTGTGCTCAGGGAAGGATTTCACGCTTCCTAGACATCACATGGAGTTGCCTCCCTGAGCAGCAGGTTTGTATCACACTCTTACATTTTCCCATCTCCAAGACCCAAAAAGGAAAGAAGTACAGTCTGTAGCAGAGTTTCACATGCCAAAGAGAAGTCATACCCAATGCATCAGGTGTGATGACAGATACAGAATACTCCAGAGCAGAACTCCTATAATTAGCCAGGGATAGAAAGGATACTCTGAATGGCCAAGATCAAACAAGGAAAAAAAAAAAAAGAAACAGAAAGGAATCTGCTCATTTTGCTTATTTTGCTGATTTAATTTGTTAAAGCTTGTCCTCTGTTGAGGTGCAGTCAATTGGTTATGTTACTTATGGTTTATTTTCCTTTCTCACTGCTGAAATTTGAATCCTACTCCACCAGATACAGATATTTACTGGCTGTCTGTAGCAGTGACTTTATCCTAAATCTGATTTGAGTTATGTCTTACCAAGTTTATGGCTCTGTGAAAAGGTGTTTTATCCAATAAGGTGATCAAGATAGAAAAAGCCCAATCTTCTGCTTCACCCTAATATAAACTATAATTTCTTTTTAAGAGAAGTTTAACAAAATTGGAAAATAGGAAAATTAATTTCAGATCAGCTAAACAATTTTTTATTGTTTTACCCTCTGAAGAACTTTTCCCTTTGTTTTCAAGAGTTCAAGTCAGTTCCAAAATAAAAAATGCTCTTTAGAAACGAAAAGTTGACAAGTTTGGTTTCTTTTTTCCTTGAAAGTCATGAAAAAGAAGTCTTTTGACATTTTCAACATTCTTTCCCATGTTCTTTTGGCTATAACTATTCTCTAGATTGGAAATACCAGTTTCACAGAGAGTTTTATTCTTCAAAACCTTTATATTCTGGCAAACTAGTGCTCCTTGAAAAACAGTTGCCCGGTTCCACTCAAATTACCCCTCTTGAGTCAGTTTGGCTGGTGTGGAAATGCCACACAGTGACATTTCCCTTCCATGACTGATGTTGCATACCTTCAGGTATGGCATTTCTTAGCATGATTCTTAGCACCACTGTAAACTGAGCTACAGAGTTCTGTACCATTGGAGAATTTATCTTGCCTGGGCACATGGAAGGAATTACAGAAAGGACTGAGAACTTCACTTATATTTTAGCCTGTCTCCCTCCCAGGCGAGTCAAAGGGAGTTGAAAGTGCCACTGTGCTCAAGTTAAGAGGTTTTATGTGTGTGTGGGCAGAACTCAAACCAAGAGCAACATGCCTGGAGCCAAGAGTGCTGTGCAGACAAGCTCCAGGCTGTCTCAGGTACAGCCCTACAAGAAGGGTTATCAGCAGAGCTCCAGCCCTGGATATTTATGGCAGTGTGTTAATGCCAGGTAAAGCCTTGATGTCCACACAGACACTGTGTTTTCAAGTGCCTAATCCGGAGGTAGTGAGTAAAAAAGAAAATAAAGAAAACAAAGAAACCATTAATTCAGGAGCAGTTGTGAGCTATAGGTGTGTAAAATAATACAGAAGGAGGTTATGTTAACTTTATAGCTCCCTTTCTGCCCTAAAGCCTTTCTCCCTTTCTAGCCTCCAGTTCATCTGCCTCACTGGTTACTTGCTGAATTAAAAGCTTCTTGAAAGTGATTTTTCTCCTATTTGATCAGGATAATGGAAGAGATGTTGTTGAAAACATACTTCTTTTTTTTTAGTTTAGAAGGAAAACTACTATGATTTTTATCCATTTCTTGAACTCTGATTTCCTTTTTGTCCTACATACCTACATTTCCTTCCTGCCCTTCCAAGACCTGAAGTAGCATCAAGAACATATTCCACAGCTTTTTTATCCCTAAGGAAATAGGTGTCCTATTTAGCTTTACAGAAGAATTTGTGGGTGAATATGTGTCCTAAAGGGTGGTGATTCTGTGGGGAGGCAGGTAGTCAGAGGAGCAGTCAGTCTTAAATTTTGAAGCCTGTTCTGGCTTACAGTTCTCACTTATATTATTTTTTTAAATAAAGAGTCTGATTTTCAACTCAATTAGACTTTTGGGAAAATGATTGCCTTCCAAAGAAAATGTTAATACTCTGTCAAAGCCCTGAGCACTTCCAAACTGAAAATATATTAGCTGAACATGGAATTATGTCAACATTTTCATTACAAACGGAGCCGTGGTTTTTCACAAGGCTTCTCAACTGACTGCCTGATGCTCTCGCTCCTTTTCAGCAAAGTGTGGGATCGAACTTCATCTCCCACAATTGTTCCCTTTCCTTCCTCTCGATGGCAAACAGAGGTGTGTCATCAGAGGTCCTTGCCGTGACATATCATGGGAGCTGAATTCCCTGTTTTGAGCGAGCTGCTGTGACTGTAGATTCTCTGAATCACAAATGTTGAAGGAGTTATGTGGCTTTTTGTCGAATTCTGGTGGTTGTTTTGGTAAATCCTCCCAGTTTTCTCACCAGCTTTCTCAGAGACTTTTATGTGATCAGATCACTAGACCAGCATGTGCCTGCTGGCAAACAGTATGGAAAACCACCTTGTAGAGATCCAAGACACAGTTCCTTCTCCTTTCATGAGCTCCTTGTTACAGCTTAGTCTGGTCCTCAGGAAAAGCCACGTGCTCCTAAGTGCAGCCTGTGGATGAGCAATGGCTCCCATTTTCTGGCTAACTACAAACAGGTAGTTAGTCTCCAGAGTCCTGTAGGGTTGAAGGCTTGTGGACTCTTGCACACATCAGGAGATTAATCTTCCTGGTATACAAATTGGGACCAGCAGCCCTGGGGACTGGTGAGAGCCCTTGAGATCTGTGTGCTCTTTCTACAGTTACTCCATGTAATCGGATGCTCAGCTGGGCTATTCATAGTCATGTCATTGACAGTGCTGTCCTTTGACCTTAATAATCTACTGAATTACCCACTGAAGCAAGGCCAGAAAAGTGTGAGTTACATGATTTATGCTTGATCATTACAGAGGGGGTCTCCCAATAAGTGGGAATAGCAAGACTTTTCCTGAGCTTATTTCCTTTCAGAGCAGTGAAGTTGCAGCAGGGACTTTGGCCCATAGCTTTCACTTCAGCTCGGTTCCAGGGGACAGGGAAAAGGTGTTTACATTTGCTTTTAATGTATTTGTTCAACAGATAACTTTGGCCAGGGGAGCTCCAATCCCACACTCAGTGCCTGTGTAGACTTAGAATTTCTGTTTTACAGGACAACAGCAGGCTCTTAAGAGCCTTTTTATAGCTAGAATGGAAGCTTTAGGGGTGAAATACAGCTTTCATTATAAAGCTCCTTTTACAGCACTTATTATTTTCTCATCGCCTTAGCCTTTGTACCATGTTTTTTCATGTCTGATCTCTGTCCAAAGATGACATTTATGAAGAAAAAAGGAACAGTTAAGCAAAATCTATTCAATCATCTTTCTTGTTGCTATGCCTAAAAGAAATTCTGTATATGCTCCAGCCAAAACTTTGTGAGCTGTCACACATTACCTACCACTCCAAGATCTTTGTTCAAACACAGCTTGTTTTAAGAACTGCATCCCTGATCCCAGGGATTTCGTGTATCTGCAGAAATGTCTGTGGGAAACTTGGGAGTTCTGTGCTGCAGAAGTTACTGCTTGCATGCACTATTTGGGATATGCTTCCTTTTCTGCTAAGCCTTTACAGGGCACAGAATGAGGCTTATCTAGCCATGTAGTCGGCTGTCAGGTGTGAATATTTGAAGTTGCAAGGACTTTACAAGGAGCAGTGGATCCTCTGAGAATGCTAGGAGCTTCTGAAAGACTTTCTCTCTTCTTGTACCAAGCAAAAACTTACTGTACAGCAGTAAATCCAGTAAGGAAGTCCCCTCAGCAGCAGCCTGGGAATGTGGCAGCCCGGCTCGGCTCACACAGTGGTACCCAGGGCTGGATTGATTATTACCAATCTTGCAACAGGCCTCCAGAAAAAAGGAGGCAAGATTTGGTGGGCTAAAGGCCATAGTGGATAACACAGTTGCTGTGATCTTTCAGGTGGGGTGTTTTTCAGATTTCAGATTCTTTTCTTGTGTCCCACAGGGGGTGGGGAAGGCCGGCACCAACCGCGCCCTGGACTGCGGCTCTGGGATAGGTCGTATCAGCAAACACGTCCTGCTGCCGGTTTTCAAGAGCGTGGAACTGGTGGATATGATGGAGAATTTCCTGGCCGAGGTCCCAAACTACCTGCAGGGCAAGGAGGACAGAGTAGAGATGTATTATTGCAAAAGCCTCCAGGAATTCACTCCAGCCCCACAGAGATACGACGTCATCTGGATTCAGTGGGTTTCAGGTTAGTTCAGCATCATTCATCCAGCCCCACATCTCAGAGAATATACAGCCTGTGCTCAAGTTTATGCTCAAGAATGGTGCAGCTGTAAAGGGAAGTTCTCAGACTTTTGGGACTGCTTCCTAAAATATCACAAGAGGCTTCTGAGAGTTCCCCCAAGCCACGTGCACAGTGGGTACAAATTAAGTGGTTTTTTTCAGGTCATGTACTGGAGGAAGGTTCCTGGAAAGCAGCCTGCATGCTGAGGTGCAGCTGAGGAGGAGGCCTTATATATGGGTTTTCTCGAGCAGGAATCCTGCTTCTTACTTGCCCTTGCTGCAGACAGATACACCAATGCCTGTAAATCAGATCATGTCTTATACATGCACTGATACTTACTAAACAGATTCCCTTAGCTATGTCCCACAGCAGACTGTCCTATAAGAAATATCTGCTGTTTCTCCTGCAGTGAATATCCTTCAGCATTTAGAGCAACAGACTGGCAATCAGATAACGTGGGCCATGCTTCTTACATGTGTAAGAAACAAAATAATTTTTCCTAGCAAACTTGCTGCAGAAAGAAGGTTTTCTCCTAATCTGTGAATCAAAGTGTCCATGATGCATTTGCGGCTGGCAGAAGGCATTATTTTAAAGCACAAGAGGAGGTCTGAACAACTCCTTTTATCCAAAACACTGGAGATAGTTTCTTGCTAGACAAAAAGAAAGATAAAGGTAGAGAGATTAGCACAGGAGATGGTTTTATTCAGGAACACTTACTTGTCCTTTACACACAGTCTTAAAGTGTAATGAAACTGAGCTGCTTAGAACAAGCCTTTACAGATACAAGCAAACCAGTATCATTTTCCTTTGTGTTTTTGCTTTTCTTGAATAACAAGTCATTGCAGTAAATGTAGCTCCTGCCTCATCTTTTGAGCAAATCTGAGTCAACCTGAGGATGAATGAGCTCAGACCTGTCCCATGCTCTGCTGCTCAGCTTTGTGGCTGCTGTCAAAGGCAGTGTGTGCCTTTTGTTTGGCATAGACACGTATATGAATCTTCTTCCTCCATCAAATTCAAGGAAATAGTAATTATCTTAATCATTAATCAAACTTCTACCCCATCTCGAATTTGGCTGAAATATGCCAACAAGTTCATTTGGTGGAGCGAGATTAGGACTGTCTGCTAGAGAGCCATACCTTGAAGATCTCATTTTCTTGGGAAACTACACTAAAAGTCACATTAAGACAACAATGAGTTCCAAATCAGTGCTCAAAAGCTTCAGTGAATCTTGCCATTGCAATCTTGATTTTTCTTATGAATGCATAAGCATGTGAGCCCAAGCAGTTATTTAATTAAAAAAAAAAAGGCAAGTTTACATTTCATATAGAAATTACCATTTCCCTTCAACTTGAAAAGTATTCAGCTTTAGGCTTGGGGGCTTTTTTCTTTTTCCTTTTTTTGGGAGGGGTGGTTAAAGAAACTTGTCATACTCTGTCAAAATGTTGTTTTGAAATGACAACTTCCAGTTATTAAAGTTTAAATCTTCCATCAAGAAGATGGAAGATATTCCATCTGTGACAAGAAAATACAAATTATCTCTTTTTTCAAGTTTTTCACTCAGTTTCTGATCACCTGTCCTTGTTAATTCATGTTAGATGTTTCACACATAAGAGTTCTCATTTTGATCTTCCCTGAGCCCTGCACCACTGTCCTCAACGTAACAGAAGTCCTGATCTTTGAGAAGGAAGGATAAAACCCAGAATCTCCATAACATATTGAAAAAAGTACTACTTTTAAATGTATGCCTATATGCAGAAATCCCAGAAGTATGGAGTAATACAAAGAGTTCAATTAGCAGGTCTTGCATTCCTCGTTGCTTCTTTGATCCAGAACTCCTTTGAAGGGTACATAATGTTACACAAAGTCATAGGGATTTTTAGCATTAAAAGACAGAATGGATTAGTTATTACCTATTTGGATTATCTAGATTATCTGTTAGATTGTCTAGTTTGACCTACTCTATATCACAAGCTATTATATTCGTTCCTTTGCCCTTGTACTGAGTCACTAGTTTGTGTTCAATTAAAATATATCTTGAGAAATTCAACCACTTGATTTGAGGTCTTCAAGAGGTGGTAAACACCACTTCTGTTGGTAGTTTCCAATGGGTAATTGCTTACACTGTTAAGCAGTTGTCACTTATTCCCAATATGAATTTGTTTGGCTCCAGCTTCCTGCCACTGATTCTTATTACGACTTTAACCACCAGATTAAAGAACCCTTCAGCACCCAGTATTTTCTCCACTCTCCTCACTGGCTGGCTTCTGTCCACATCTGTTGCTACTACTAACGTGGTTCCTAAATCTTGATTTGAGTTTATATCTGTCGATCTCATTGATTTGCCCAACTTTTCATAATTAAATCTGTCGGGACTAGAACTTCTGCAATGAACAGAGTGTGGAGACTCAGGTCAAGGCACCATTCTCATGTGTACAGGGGGGGTCTGGGTGGTTACCAGTGATCTATTTTCCATCTTTTCATCTGTAGGATATCTGACAGATAAAGATCTCCTGGAGTTTCTCATCCGGTGCCAGAATGGCTTGAAGGATAATGGTGTTATCATTCTCAAGGACAATGTAGCCAGGGAGGGCTGTACCCTGGATTGCCTGGACAGCAGCGTGATCCGAGACCTGAACATCCTCCACAGCCTCATTGAAATGAGTGGACTCACCATCCTGCGGGAGGAGAGGCAGGAGGGGTTCCCTGAGCAGTGTGTCCCTGTCTGGATGTTGGCCATGCAGAAAGGCCCTGGCCATTCCTGATTGCCTAGTGGAACTGTAGAGACTGGACTATGGGTGAACCACTGGACTGGGAAGAGGAAAAGCATCTACTGGAATACTCCTCACCATGCACTGCTGCTACTGCAGCTCTAGGGCAGCAACTCCTAAAGGGTCAGGAGAGAATTAACAATGGAGTCAACTTCTCCAGGGAATTGTCTGCTTCTGAATCCTGCCTGCTTCATCATTCTTTCCATTTTTAAAAGTCTTTCTAACAGCTCCTTGTTGGAGCTCTCTTTCATTAAGGAGTCAATATTGGATAAAACTTAACTAGTAGAAAATAATTAGGTCTGAATTTTCTGTAGTTGCTAATACATTTTGGAGTGTTCTGTACGAGGTGTTAAATAAGCCTGGTTTTTACTATAGCACTTAAATCTTCTTGGAATTTAAGAGGGTTGTGTCAGATCACTGAAGCAGGAAATTCAAATAACTTCTTGGAAAACCGAACTCGAATTTTGATTGTTCTCACTATCTGTACTTTAAAATATTTAAACCAAAAATCTAAGGGAAGTTTTATCTTTTTGTTGGCATCGGCTATGCAGTTTATTTATTTTTTTCATTTCTGTCAATTTGGACAATAAACCAACCTGGTTAATTTTCCATTTTCAGGAACTGCTTCATCTTCATGATGTTTCTGCCACAGAACAATAGTGGTGCATAAGGGATTTCACACTCTGGGGGAGAATTTAGCTGACAAATATATGCATGTTTGCATTGAAATTTTGTGAAAAGCTTGCCCCACAAATTACATTCTGGAAAATATTTTTTTCAAAATGTTCACAGTGGAAACCACTTGAAAGCTTCTCTTTATTATTCATACCACTGTGCCTTTCTTTCCTTCCCACATTGGGAACAAGTCTGGCACCATATGCAGAGCTAATGGGATTTCATGGGGCGTTAATAGTAAGACTATAAGAAGAACTAATACAGTATTGTATTAATTAACAGCTGTGCTAAACTGCAGAGGGTGTTAGTGCAACCAAAAGCTCCTATGATTTATACTCAAACAGCAGCTGTATAAGCCTGGATTTGAAAACACTAACACACACCCCATCTCCTTAAGGCTCACAGAAATTATACATTAAACCTCTTGTCCTCTTCACTCAGGCACTGAAAATGCTGTGGGAGGACAGAGGTTTATTTTGCAAACAAATTCAGAATTTGAAATTCTGTTTTCGTTCTGAATGGAGGCAGGAAGGGAGAATTTTGAAATTCTTTATAAAGGGAAACCACAAAACCACAGTTTTCCAAGTTGATGAATTTTTTTTTATTAAGACAAAATAAAATATTTCTTTTGAATTGAACATTTAAAATAAATTGCACTTAAAATGTTATTAAGGCTTGTTCAAAATTTTAGTGGTTAATGGTGATGTTAGAAAGAACTGTTCTGACTCTGTCAGAATTTTTATCACGTCTTACTCCCCTAAAATGCAATTCTTGCAAAGCTTTTTAGACTTTATAAAGAGTTGCATAATGACAAACCTCCGTGTTCTGATGGAAAGGAGTTCTATAAAACATCCTTCACATGACTGTAGGCACAATTGGCTGTGTCAAATACTGTCAGCTGTGTTAGATTAACTAAAAAAGAAGCCTGAAGATATTGAGATCACGGAACCTCTCAGCTGGATTTTAGTACACATAGCCATCCTTTGATAACAAATCCCCAGTTTGGATTTTAATTGCATAACTCATCTTCTCTAGCAATATGGTTGCACATGCTGAGAATTTCCAGTTTATGGCAGAGGGCTTTCTGCCATCAGATCTTATCCTGTAACTCTACTGTTTATGTTCCATTGCTAATTGTAGCATTAAGGAAAACCACCCTGTGATTTGGTGTGTCTTATAGCCTAGAAACCCATAACACAGATGCTTCTGGGATGTTTTGGCTAATTCTTCCATTCTGTTTAACTGGTAATGGACACGAATTTAGTATGTAACATTGTTAGAAACCTTAGGTGAACACTTGCATTCTGGAATTGTCCCCAGAACTAAGGGCTTCACGTTCCCTTTGAGCCACTTACATTGCTTTCATTCTGCCAAGGCTGCTAAAAACTGATGTGGACTTTGTGTGCATATGAGTACGTGCAGATAGTTGAAGGAATCTTAGAATCATAGAATATCTTGAGTTGGAAGTGACCCACAAGGATCATCAAAGTCCAACTCCTGGACACTCCAAGAATCCCACCATGTACCTGAGAACATTGTCCAAACACTTCTTGAGCTCTGTCAGGCTTGGTCATTTGTTTTTTCAGGAAAGAGGCATCAGTCCTAAAATGAGTACCACTGGTTAGCAGTAAGAGGAGAATATTTAAAAGGTCTTTACATAGATTACAAATTAATTTGTCCTTCACCCTTTTTTCTTCCAGCCAGAGACATCTGCCATGGTGCAGAATACTTGGACTGCAGGAGATCCTTGTACAGTGTCTGTGCCAGGCATAAATTAATGGTGCTGGTCACTGCAATGGTGAGAGAACAGCATTGTGGAAATAGGGAAGTAAAGAATTTTTATACAAATCTAAACAGCTGCCACATCTCACAGGGCAGAATAAATCAGCTGGTCGTGTACACACCAGAGTGGGTGCAGTTCAGTAATGAGAGACGTGGTTCCAAGATGGAAATAGAATGCAAAGTGGTTTAGGATGAAAAGCAGAATATAAATGACTGGTATGGTTACCAGTGAAATATATTTTTCAGGGTAAAAATGTTCTTCCTATGTTTTGTATATCTTTCCTATTTGAATTTCCAGAATGCATATACATAAACATATAATGAAAATTGGTTCCCTTAACTATGTGTGAAGAGAGAAAAGTAAAATCTTAATTTAGTAGAAAAACCCATATTTCATGGTTTCCACATTCCTGGAAATTAATGTTTCATGGCTATGTTACTTCCACAGTAAAATTGTAAAGCTTTTCTGGTGACATAATGAACCTCAAGAGTACAGAAACACAAGCCCTTCAGGAGCTTAAATGCATGAGATTGCTGCAGACTTAATAATATTTTGATTTCCTCCTTTTCCAAGGTATATTTTAATTCAAGAACTCCAAGTCAACTAGTTCAGGCCATCCTTAAATTTTCCTTAATTTGGGGAAGGGCCATTGTTGGCTTAAAAGTTCAGGCTCTCTGCACTTTACCATAGTATATAAAAATGATTCACAAATTTCAAAGAGAAGATCTTGCTTAGAAATCATCTATGTATCAGTTACTCTTTGATGCTCTGCCTCAACTTCCAGGTTATTTAAACCATTAATTTAAAGAATGATCATCTGATTGCAGAGGGAGTTTCAATCCCATTTGTTTGGTGCTTGTTTAAGACTTGTTCCCGATCTTGATGTCACCAGAAATTTAATCCAAGACCAAGCCCCTGTCTGGGACAAGGTTCACAGAACCCTGAGGGTCCTTGAAACTCAAGTGCTCATCCACCACTGACAGGTGATGAGGGAAATGCCCAATCTGTCCTTCAATGAGACATTTCTCCCAGGCAGCCACTACTCAAGTAAAAGCTTGGCCAAAGCACAGTAAATCCTGATTCTGCCGTGCCACCACCACTATGGTGTCCCCAGGTCAGGTCCATTGCTCCTGCTTACCTTTGTTAATGACTACAAACCTTCTTGCAAAAGAGATGTAGCCCCCAAATGCTACTGCAACCCAACAAAATGTAGGGAAGCAATTGGTCCAGCTTTCTGAAGAGCCATCCCAGCCGTGCAGCTCCAGCAACCACCAGAGCTCAAGCTGTTTGTGTTCCTAAGGCAATTCAGGCATTCCAAATGGACTGAAACAAGAGCCTCCTCTCTCTCCAGTGGCTGTGCAATGACAGCCCATCCTTGTTACGACCAATTCAGCATCTTCACTGTTAAACAGGAATTCAGTGTGATCTGAGCAGATCAAAACTGGAAGAAGGCATGGACTTGGATAACCAAACACCCACTAAAAACCAAAGTCATAGTACCAGGACACTGCATTGATGGGAGCAATAAATCCCTACCTGATGCCAGCTGACAAAGGCTTTACCAGTTATTCCACTGAGTGCCTGAGTACCTTTGTGCCATCCACTTGTTTTTCCCATTCTCTTAATCCAGACTCCCCAGAGCTTTTACAATGGTATATCAGCCAGTAGGGCTGTCCAGAGGAACTTGACTCTTACATGTAATTAAAACCAGTTGTGCTGCATCCCATCCTTCTTCTCTTCCTTTGATGCTTCTTCCTACTAGCCAAGAAAATCCTGCCTCCACTTGCCAAAAGTGATTTGTTCTCTGTGGACATCACCACATCTCACTGAAGTAAAACAGAGTACCTTTGATTTTAAGAGGAGGTAATTCTGTTTATCTGAGAGCAGTAACAACATGCTATATTTCAGACATAGAGGTTAATACCTGTCTTTTCCAAATGATGTCAAGTAGGCACTCCCAGGCCATTGTACCAAACAAAGCTCACCATCTCATCATCACCATAAATAACAATATTTATATGGCACTGTACATCCCTAGGCCTTGAAACATCATTTTTATTTTGCTCAGGATAAGGAAACTGAGGCACAGAAGGGTGATTTGGGCAGCATTACAGCTTTATCCAAGTGGTGGCTGTGAGTGATTAATACCTGTACAAACCAGGCCACTAAAAGAACTACAGAATGTTTTTCAGGCAGACATAAACTGATTCTGGTTGTGCTTGGAGCAGATTAAAACAGCACACTCATGGTTAACCTGCTTACTAGGCCAACCTGGAATGTTGTCCACAGAAGGCTCAGGCTGAACATTGTGCTCATGAACTTAAACAGCTTCTAGTCTTTTCAAAGCATTGGAAGAACAACCCAGTGTATGCCTGCAAAAAAAAACCCAAAACAAAACCCAGAAAATTGGTGAAAAGTCTCTCTTCTCTGTATCTCTCTTTCAAGAAATGTTGAATTTGCTGGCATTTCAGCCTGTTGTGGTATTTTCAGACTCCTGAAACAAAGGTTTTTAGAGGCATTTGAAGATGCAGAAGTCCTTTAAGTTCACTGTGGCTTAGCAGAAACCTGTTGGTGTCTTTGGATGCCTGTAAGTCTCCGAAGATCTCACATGCAGGAATCTCAGCTTCACACAAGACTACATTTTCAGAATTTTCCAGGAGACCAGATTTGAAGGCAGTTAAGTGCCTACCAGTGGACGTGGGCATTTAGAGGTATTTCTGAAGTATTTGGCCAATTCAATCAAGGTTTAGCACTAGCATGTCTTTGCAAACCCTTCAGGGAAATGTAGGCATCTTAGATACAAATAATCTCACTTGATTTAGGGCACCTAAATATAGATGGCTCATCTAAGGTAATTGTCTAGGCTCTCTTTGCAGTCAGTGGAGAAGAACTGGCCCATGCAGGAGACATGGCAGGCCCACTCATTCATCCCATTCGAAACAGATGTATTAAAGATCAAAGCAATAGAAAAGTCCTTCTGAAAGCTCCATTCAACTGTGCCACTTCACAGGGACTTGAACTGATTTTCAGGTACATTATGCCTGATTGTGCCCCTCTCCCTAACCTCTGACAATGCCCTGTGACTGTAAAATCCTGATTCAGAGGCTGCCATTTCCAGATCTGTAGCGGAGATTCATGGTGTCACACATGCCACAGGTGCTGC